ATATTTACTTGGTCCTGCTGGAAAGAGACTTAGCAACTGAGAAAATCACTATACAGGTGTAAGGCCATCTCCAGTAACCGCTTCCCAAGACAAAGTCTAACCTGTGCTGTGGAAAAAATGCCAACACGAGAGAGGTACGACAGTTCACAAACTCTTACAAGAGACATATGCAAATGTGACTCTCTTTCTCTCATCTGAAATGCAACCAACTGGAGAAAACCAGATGATTATGGATGGAAAGGTATTAGTTACTCACAGATGAAGGATGCAAAACTTACTTCTTTGTCAGCTGTCGCAATCCAGTAAAGACACACCATGTTCAACTACGCTCTTTTCTTTTGAACAGAGATTTGTCGGCTGTGGGAGAAGTTGAGGAAAAGCACCAGGAAGCAATGGAGGGGGCTGCTTGGCTCTTGGTATCGAAGAAGAGTCAGCAGGACCAGGCGGCAGCCAACAACTAAAACTGGTGAAGAAGTAGTAGTGGGTGCAGCAGGAGAAAATCATCGTTAGAAAGTAACAAGGAGACAAAGACAAAAGGAAAGAGCAGGATGATGGATCAGTAACCCCTGCAGACGCACCAAGACCTCTGAGGACACATTTGCTGTCATGTCAGCCCTGGCACAGGCAGTCAAAGCAGCTAATGCCTCCTTCTCCTTACTGCTCAGCCCCGCTGAGGCTGCTGCCAACTGAACTAGCAATCCTCCCCACCATCTGTCGACCCCCGTGATGCTAATTTTCTGTTGAAATCTTCTGTAGATTTAGTCATCGAGTGTTTTTTAGGTCAAAAGAGTCAGGATTTCCTTCCCAGGCTTGCAAATGCTGATCAGTACTGAGGCTGGCTCAATTTCAAATTTCAATACGTTGACTTAATGTCAATACAAAAAAGTAGGCATCTCAGATTCACAGAATAGTTTAGTTTGGAAAGCACCTCTGGAGGCCATCTGGCCCAAACTCTGCTCAAAACAAGGCCAGCTTTACTGGTGGATCATGTTGCTCAGGCACCATCCAGCCGAGTTTTGAGTCTCCCCAAGAGTGGAGGCTCCACAAACTCTGTGGACAACCTGCTCCAGGGCTTAAGCACTCTCATGGTGAAGTATCCATGGCAGCTTCCTCATGCTGCCCATCAGCTGACTAGAATGAGATTTTTTTGACAAACCCGCATAGGACACTATACTGTAAAGACTTAAAAGGACTTTCTTTCATAAAGAAAATTTCTCACTGTTTTTAAAACAAGGCTATGGTATCTTCATAGTAACTAATTTTTTTACCTCATTACCTATGCAGCACAACATCTGCAAGGTCACAGCATCAATTTTTGAAATCACAATACAGTGTCGTAGGAAAGGTCAACGCAAAAGATAACATGAAAAAAGCAAAGGAAGAGTAAAGAAGGCAAAGTAGGGTTTTCAGAGGCATCTAGGGAACTGCAAGTTCAAAGAGATCTCAGTACCATCATTCATTAGGCATAGTATTACTGCTGACCCCACTACAGTCCATATTTATGAGCAGATGAAAACCCATCTGTTCCTCAAAGAGTTTCAAAGTGAAGGCAGCTCATACTTTGAGCAAAGTAAAAAGAACACTATTTTGTTTCCGTCATGTGTAATAAATGTAGCAAGGGGAAATAACAAGCACAAGCTTATTACTCACAGTTGTTGACAATGACATGTTTAACTTGTCAACCAGCAATACTATGAAGGCACCTCAACAGTGCCATTATTAACCGCCACTGCAAAGCCAACGGGACACGTACCACCACAGAGCACAGGAGCAGGAGCTGGCACTTTGCATCATACAGTAATCCCCTCTGTATTGGATGTTTCTAAACTGGGCCAACACAAGCACAGAGCAGCAGAAAGAAGAGGTGCTTTCCAGCACCTTCTGGTCATCCAGCGATGGATGTTGCAGCCACCCCGCCCAAAGGCCAAACACGACCCCTACTCTGTGACGAGGACCAAATAAAACAGAAGAAAGGTGAAATGCACCATCTCCTTCTTTCAGCGTCAGCAGCTCTCAGTCGAAGGTGTTTCACGATTGTGCTCCTTCCCCCTGGTCCTGCCCCCCAGTGACTTCTAAATACTAAAATGACAGAGGTACCAAACGGACATGGAACAGGGAAGAACCCAGGTTTTAAAAACTGAGTATGTCTGAAAGGCACATTTTAAATGCCTCACCATAGTATTTTCCTGAGTTTTGCACGAGTTAATCTAACAAGATGTAGTACTCACCCTACAGAAGGAAGGACAATGGCTTTAGACGCCCTGGGATCATGACTTTTTGCTGCTCTGTACAATTAATGGTCTTTGCTCTCAGCAACCTGCAACTTTCTCAGAGAAAATGCACAGAAACTCTAGTATCTGTTTGCAAGAGGTTCTGCTAATGTCCTGCGACCACGGTCTCCTCCCTTTCAACTAACCTGCAAATTCCTAGTTTGCTTTTGAGTGGGGAAGGTATGTTCCATCCAAAGCAAACATGGTTTCCAAGCTTGCGATAGTAAATGTGCTAACCTCTACACTATGACCATGATAATTCATTTTTCCGCTTTCCAAAAACAGCATGTCACAAAGGGATCTGAAAAATTGTCTCTGGTCTCTCCAGGTGTCACAATATTTCTGATCTGCCGATAAAATGGATACAGCGAGGCAAGACTCTCTCTCTCTGGCACGATGTCTGATTTGTGTGACTCCTTCACACATTACTCCTCTGCTGGCAACCGACGCTCTGCGTGATGGGAGTCCAAAAGAAAAATCGCTCTTGCGAAGCCAAAACCTTACAGGAGGAACAGAATTACCGCCGTCAAAACCACCTCTCGCCCAGTCTAATGCGTGTCGTACAGGGCACACTGCACTCCCAGGAGCCAACGGTTCCTCCCGGGATTGCAGGGAGCTGCTGACTTCCCCTGCCACGACGCATTTCACTCTCTCTGCCTGCCTTAATGCTTACTGTAAATTCTTGCAAAATCAGCATCTCAGCCCACCAAACTGAGACGCTGTGACACTGGCTCCAACAGGGTCTCTCACTTTGCCCACAGTTGAGGGTACCAGCAAAATGGTGAAACAGCAATCGAGTACCTGCTAACGAAACAACCTGACACCTAAACCAAGAACTTCATGTCATATCATATCTGGCAGTTTCTTACTAACAAAAGATCTTTCTATGCTAAAAAAAAAACACCTCGGAATATTTAAGCAGTATTCCTCAATGAAAAATCATACTTTCCAGAGTGAAGCCTGTACTCTGACATCTGATGAGGCCACTCTACAGGTCTGGCTGAATGCAAAGGATCTTCTTGCCTGGAATCACATCTTCTCACTGGACATGAAGCTATGTATTTTAAATGTTGTCACCCACACACAGTTATTTAGTAAAATGCTTGAGAAACTATGTATTTGAATTGCTCACAAAGAAAAGTCTACTGTAAGAAAGATGACTGCAAACCATTGACAACTGCCTTTTCAGACGATTCAAATTACTTTAAAATCAGGCATTTTCATGTTTTCAGGTCTTTATTCAAGTAAGTGAATTACTTTAAGCTTGTTTAATGAATATTTTTCATTAAAAGACCATAATTTAATTCAATTAAGAAGAAATTATCAAAGTGAGATTAATAAATATCTCCACTGACATTTTAAAAACATTGAGATCAAAGTTTATGCAAATTTGGTTGACAGTAAGAAAATTTCATCTTTGCCTTTCTGTATAAGCAAGGGTTTTGTTGTTCTCCTGAGTTACACACAATCTCTATACGTTACTAAATATACTGCTTTAATCTTTGGCCAGCTTTTTCCATGTCTATAGACAAAGCATGCAGTAATCCAAATATGAAAGGAGTAATTGCGACGATTCAAAGGTGACACTAACATGACTGCAATAATGAAAACAAAAAAGCTAATAAAAAGCTATTTATTGTTTTATCAACCATTTCTTCTAAAAGCTTCCCAAAGAAATTCGTCCACATCGGTCTGAAACTGCCTGTCTGCAACTGATGCAACAAATCCATCTGACAAGGCTTTAAATAGCCTGCAAAACAGAGTGATGTCGCTTGACAGACACACACACGTGCTGTCCTTTTGTCAGTTAATGCAAGGCACTGTCCACTTTAGAAGTGTCCTTTAAACTGGGAAGTATATTCACCTGTATTACTGACATCAGCACAGATGATTAGAAACAAATGAAATTTCCTTTTCCTTTCTTCTATGTTTGTTTTTTTTTTCTTTTTTCTATCTATACAGCAGAAGTCAATTACATCAGCTTCATTTTAAACATACTCAATTGCTTTATCTTTCAGGCATAAGCTCTGCATCGGAAAAAACAATCTTGCCTAGAGTCTTCACTTGAGCAGCTTTAAGTCCTGTTTGCGCTTAGCCATGGTTTTACTGAATTTGCAAACAAATACTGTTTGTTTTTTGGTTTGGGTTTTTTTGTTGTTGTTGTTTTACAAGGGTTAGATGCAACATAGTAAGGTGCAGGAGAGTGGAAGGACTACATCAGTCTTTCATAGTTCATCACACCTGGCCACCACATCAAGTCGCGTAAGGTGGGCAGCTCTCTGCTGCTCGGGTCAATGACATTACCTACACACTTGGCTCCTATGCTGAAAACGCTGAAACGCTGAAAACTCTCCAGTTTTGAAGAAGATACACAGCCAGCCAATATTCAGTTGCCAGGACTGTGGCGGCCGCACATCACATTTGGGAAAAAGGAGAAAAGCTCCCCATAAATCTCCACTTGCAGGCATATACCCTATTGAATTCAATTGCAGTGCCAGTCTATACCAAACTAATTTTGATTGTCAAGTAAAAAAAATAAATTAAAATACGAAAGGCTGATCCTGGGTTCTTCCCTTTTGCTAAGCATACCAACGGTGTAACACCATCCTTGGAGAGGGGACTCTCCATAAGCCCACTGCTGCAGAGAGGGAAAGGGGTGCAACAGCAGGCATGGGTGAGCCACGTCAGCCCTCGCCCCCAGCAGCGAGCACCGCTCTCCCAGCACCTCACCTGACGGTGTGCTGGCTGCCGTCATGGTCGTGCTCGTTGAGTGTGCAGGGCTGCTGCTCTCCAACAGCAGACAAGGGCTGCCACCACTGTTCTTCTTAACGGGTGTCTCAGGGGTGCTGGGCAGGGGCACCGGGTGGCTGATGCCCAGTTCCTCTTCCTGAGCTTGCTGCCTTCTCAGCGCAACCTGGGAACGAGAAGACAGATGTCAGGCACGCTCTCTGGCTGGAGCACAGTTTGTAACAGCAACAACAAAAGATGCAAATTCAAGGCTGTTTTTTCCTCTTTGAACTCTCTACAGTGCTGATATCATGATCTACCCAGTGGGTAGAGGAGGATACAAAGGAGGTTATAAAGCTATTTGAAACCACCCCCTTTTTGTGTCTAAACACGTATCAATAAATCTACGAAATGCTGGTGCCATATACACCTTCCTCCAACAAAGCCATGTGCAGATGTATGAAAGCTGACTGCACTCACCTGACACAGTCACTTTTGGGCAAAGCCTACTTCGAAAAGTGCAGTCACTACCCTCCTCTCTGCTGATACAGAGCTGCTGGGGATACGAAACTCATCTACTTGCAGGACTCTGCTGCGCCTCTTCATATAAAGCAGCTGTTCCATGAGGGCTTATACCTGCCATCTGCTGCTCTGTCCAAGCCTTGCTGGCTCCTTGCTGGAAATCCAGCCCTTCAAGGGAATTTCAGCACACAGTACACTGTACACAGAAAGCCGTCATGGAAGAAGGATGGCAAATCTGGGGAACCATCCTGTAAGCATCTCAGCCAGAGTCACACACATTGCAGGTGGCCGGCCAGGCCTGGAGCAGCAGGAGCTCTCCATTTCTTTCCCAACACTGACAATGTTCCAAATCCTAGCCAGCACTGGCCAAGCCCAGCAACTTTGCACAGCTGTCCCCCCATACCAAGTTGTGACACATGTCCAGGCGGTATATATATGACACTGGGGCCTTACAGCTAACTGCCCTGCAACATGCCCAGTGACTGATTTGCATCTGTATTTGATCCTTGGAAAATCTGTCTCAGATTACCAACTGGGATCATGGGCTATTCTTGCTGGAAATTCTCCTGGGTAACTTGAACAGGGTTTCCCTCCATTTCCATGTTCAACAGAAACATTTTTCTAATACAGATGCATAATACCGTTAGAGAAATTAATAATAGCTCTCACAACAGAGACATCTCAAAGAGGAGGTGTAGACTTGCAAACATCAGGGGTAACTCTGACTTCACAAGCCAACAACCTTGACCTGTAAAATTCCACCAGCGTCAAGGGGCTTACTGCAGAAATATATCAAAAGGGGGAAAGACAGACTTTCAATGTGTAACTCCTACGCCGATAAGGTTTAGTTAGGGAGGCTTTCAAAGCCACTTTCAAATAGTAGGCAGGGAAGAGAAAACCCCCATGAGGGCCACTGCCTGAACCTGCTAGCAGGAGGCTTTCACTGCCTGGCAGAAGCTGCTGGGTAGAAGGGGACACTTGCACGGGGAACACCACCCCATTTCGTGCTCCCTCCCCCGAGGCAGGCAGCAAAAAGACTGATGTTTATTATTCCACGGTTCACACCAGGCAGAGAAAGCACATGTAACTTGGGCATAATAACAATTTCTGGACTGACATGCCACCGACAATTATTTAAACGAACGAAAGCTCCCAGTGGGTTCAGAGGACGTTTAGTATACCCGCACTGAATAATTAAACAAAAAAGTAGGGAAGGATTTAATCCAGGACTGCCACAGTTTTTAGACTCTGTTAGTGGGACACTCATCTTCTGCGGGATCACGAAGCTCTGAGCTCACATTAATGGCAAACTGAGTCCGTGGGTCTGATATCACTGACTCGCACCAGTAGCTGTAACGCCTTCCCATTAATTTGTCTGCAGGGGACTAATTGCACGAACGAGGACGTGCAACCCCCCCCTCACAGAGCTCAAGCACGCCCGTAGCCAGCACACTCCCAGCACTCTTCTTAATGAAGTTTTTCAAGATAAGGACCGCACGGACTAATACAGCGCTCATTTACA